TCCCCACAGCTGCTCCCCAACATCCGCTGCAGAAATGGAGACCAGGAGGCTAGGTCTCCTACAGACAGCTGTGAGAGTTCATTTTCCATTTTGCAAACTAATTTCGTTCTTGTCAGTTGCAATGCTCTGCCAAGTGGTAGATGGGAATTTCTAAATCAAAAACCACTAACCTCAAACCACAACCAGCCCATGTCAAACTTCAGAAACTACTCCCAGAAACTACATACCAGAACGTATGGTAATAATACTATAACTATTTGTAACATACTGCCAGGTTTGTCACGTTTAGAAAATTCATAGCACGTTTTTGGCACACAATCTATTCAGAATAACGGTGATAAAGATGTATATATTCAAATGTATGTTTTTAATGGCCCTATTTATTTTATTGATGCAAGACAGTACATTAGCTAAATCTCCATCATCCGTCTGTATGCTTCAGGTACAGATTAGGTCCCTGCAAAGCCGGTTGTTTATGTCTTTAATCCAATTATGCTCAAAGCCTTCAAAATTGATATAGAAGCTCTGCAGACTTTTAGTTGCTGTGAGGGGTGTGTGGGTGTGGGTGTGTGTGTGTGTGTGCGCGCGCGCGCGCATGTACCCGTGCCCATGCACGCATACCCTCTCTATCTTCTCTGAGACACCTTATTTCATTGGGGGGGGGAAACCTGAAATATTTTAATATTTATGAAGTCAGAAGCATCTCTGACAACTTTCGAGGGTTGCTTCAAGACTTTCATTGCTTCAACATGAACTAATAACCCAAGGGAAGCCGAAACCTTCACTAGAATTTAAAGCTGGAGGTCTGAACCCTCAGGACCCAATATCTAAAAGAGTTGCTAAGAGTCTTGACAGGAGATCAGGACCAGGACAGAGCTGGGAAATAAAAACAAAGTCCATTCCGAAGGTGGTGAGGAAGCAGACTCTTAGCTCAGGAACCGGCAGGGGGAAGAAAAGCCAGGTAGAGGAAAGTTCTGGCTGGGATGGCAGTGCTGGTGGGGAAGTGAGGCCATGGTGGGACCGTGCAGCAGGGGAGGAACCGCTCAGTAAGTCAGGATGGGGCTGTTCCTATGGAATCTCTTCTATTTATTCTCTCTGTTTGCACCGAGCCTGGTCATCATAGCCTGCATGGCTCATAGGACCACGCTGTGACCCAGTGCAACTTCATGTCATCCAGGGTCAGCCAGGCCTTCTGGTGCTGCCTGCTCCACGGAGGATTCAAGAGCCGGGCCAGCGTAGGTCACATTGCCTCATTTCGGATTCACGGACGCCCACTCTCTCCTTGACATCAAAGTCAACTGCATTCCTCTGGGCCGCCTGAAGTGCTCAGCCTCCCGCTTACTGACCACCATGCAAACGCTTCCCGGGCTCCACTAAGGCCTGTCCGGGTAGTCTCTGGTTTTTTTCAGTCTCTAATTCGATCCTTCTTTCTCCTTACCATCGTGCCACTTTCGTCATGGGAAAGACGACTCCTCAAATCCTACCATTTAACTCTTACGGAGCCCTTCTGTAACCCATGCTCTGAATGAGTGCTCTGAGTGGGTGCCGTGTGGGGCTGCGGAAAGGATACTTTCAATCTGCTTCAGTCCTGACTCAACCACTTTCTAGCTGTGTGATTTTGAGCAAATTAACTTAACTTTGCTAGGCCTCAGCGTGCTCATCTTCGAAATGGTCCTAATAATGCATATCATCATAGAGGATCATCTGAGACGTAGGGGCTTGTACGTGTAAATCACTTGCCTGGAACCACACAGCAGTTAACTCCTGTGTCACCTTCCTCTCCCTGGCTTTCTCTTTTATCTTTGCCCCACTCCACCTTCGAACGCGGGCCTCCCCCTTTCCCTCCTTACTTCATGGTGCCTCAGTTAAACCTGCACCTCCCCAGGACAAACGGCTTCATTTCCCTTCCCTCCCTGCCCCTCACTTGGATTAGCCCATCTCTTGTCTTTCAGCTCTTCCTTTCCAGCAGCTTCTGATCCCGAAACAGCAAATAGACTCAAAGTGGTATTGTCCTAAAGAGAAAAACCTTCCTTCGTCCTACTTCCCAATGATGTTTTTCACATTTGTTGATAATCTAAACCTCATACAAATCACTGCCCTAGCTAGCCTAGAAGTCTATTAAGAGATGATTACACATACAGGTATAATCTTGGGGGTGAGGCCCAATGAGGAACCCCGGTCTCAGGCTGTTCCCTTGTCCTTAGAGCCCCAACCTGTGCCAGATACATGACACTAATATTTGGAAGACTCAGTAAAGGCCATCATTTCATCCCTCGTCCAATGTTTCGGTGCTTCCAAAATTCTAATTTAGGTTCCAGCGGCCTATTTTTCGTCCACCATTAAAAAAAACATTTCACCCTTGTGTTTAAAGCTCTGGATTGCATAATTCTAATTCTTCATGAGTTAAGGGTAGTTAGTCCTCTACACTTCCTGCTTACACCTTGCTTATTAAAAAGCATTGTTTTTCTCCCTAATGGAGACTAAGGCTTCTATTTCTGGATCTTTCTGGTAGTCCTTTGTGGCCAGTCTTTTCCTGTTTTTGTTTTGTTTTGTTTTGTTTTTTTCAGCTTTCTCCATCATTATCCTCCCACATACTCTTAACTACAGCTAAATTGGTTAACTCACTGTTTGGCAAACAGGCCCTGATGTTTCCCACTCACATCTGTGCACCAAAACAGCGGTTCTCTCGTCTCTAAGCCTCAGCGGTTCTTCCTCGTTAAGGACAAGGCTGGATCCCACAGTCCTCCTCAGGTCTGCTCTGTTTGCAACTGAAAATACGTCGTCTCTCCTCTGAAGTCCTTCTGTGTTTGTAGCTCAGCCACAAGGCTCCAAGCCTTACGACAGCTCTTTCTTAAATTGTTGATCGGCTTTATTATTTGATCTTGTGTGTGCATATTTTGTCTCTCAGTTAGCCCGCAAGGTTCTTGTGGGCAGAGACCATTTTTCTACCATCTGCTGCCATCCCCGGCATAGCCCGGGACAGAGTAAGTACTTCTTATGTCTCTTAATGTTCCCTCCCCAAGTATTATCCCACTATTACCCTAATTGACCTTCACTTTATTTCTGACTCTTTTCGCAATAAGATTTTTTAAAAAATTTGAAATCACTCTGCAATCCCTGGAAAGCATCCTTCTTCCAGATTTGATTCTAGATGTGACTTAATAAGCCTAATAATGGTTCCTTCTCTTAGCCATTAACAAATCAGTCCAAGAATATCACAAGTTCAATATCCACTGTGAGCAGGGCACTGAACCAAGGGCTTATATTATACATTACAGAAAATGTGGAAGATGTGATACAAAAGAGCAGGAGTTCAGAGTTGATGATATATCGTGTGTGTGTGTGTGTGTGTGTGTGTGTGCATCCCTAAACTCTCTCTATACATTTATGTATATGTTAAATATCTACGAAATCACTTAACACCGAAAAGAATGTAAAGAGTGCAAATATATATAATGAAAAACGATTAGGAGTTTACAGAAACATTCTACTGAATTATGCCTTTTTGGGGAAGAATATTTTGGAACAGGTGATTTGGAGAGGCCACAGAGTCCATAAGAGCAAAGCCCATGGGGCACCTGGGTGGCTCAGTGGGTTAAAGCCTCTGCTTTCGGCTCAGGTCATGATCTCAGGGTCCTGGGATCAAGCCCCACATCGGGCTCTCTGCTCAGCAGGGATCCTGCTTCCCCCTCTCTCTCTGCCTGCCTTTCTGCCTACTTGTGATCTCTCTCTCTCTCTCTGTGTCGAATAAATAAATAAAATCTTAAAAAAAAAAAAAGAGAGCAAAGCCCATGCCTCTTTTTGCTCACCGTCTCTCCCCACCACTTCCTGCAGCGCCTGGTTCACTGTAGCCCGCCGTTCACAGCGCCTGATGGCACGAATAGCCAAATGCTGAGAGAAGGGAAGGCTAGGTTACGTAGCAGAGCGAGTGTGTTATGCTAGGGACACAGTCATTTATTTTCCTGGGTGGAGCCAAGAAATAACATGCAAAATGATGGAAAGGAAAAAAGAGAAGGAAAATGATGAATGGCATTGAAGTACTGCCAGGAATTTTGGTTTTAACAGATAGTAACAAACACTTTATTATCCCTTCATTTATTTATTCTGCAAATATGTCTTAAGCATCTACCGTCTGCCAAGCACCGTGCGAAGAGCCGAGGGGTCTGTAGCGAACAGAACGCAGTCTCTGTCTTCGGGGTTGGGCAGCCTTTCCACCATGAGTGGTGTGGCGGCTCGCACTTACGGCTCTGGTTATTGTTGTCCTCAGAGTATTTAGCAGAGGGGAGCAATCTGTCCAGCCTCCATCATAGACGGTGCCGGCGGAGAGCAGAAGCCTTCATTAAAATGAGCCTCAGTGTGAAGTACATCAAAATAACAGATGATTTGAGGGCAGTAAGGAGGATTGGAAACTTAGGGAGGAACTGTTTGCCCGGAAGGTTGTCTGGGATGATAGAACGGTCGATTGAGGACCCGTGGAACCAGCCCGAGTTTATTTACGGGTGCTTGCATGAGCCCAGGACTGTCAGTTTCCTCGTGTTGGGGCCTGAATGATGGGCTAAGAGGATAAAACTCTTGGTTCAGGAAAAAAAAAAAAAGAAGATGTTTACATTGATTTTTTTTTTCTTTTGGTTTTTCAGATTTAACTTGCCCTTTGGCATATGTCCCTAGAGAGCCCTGGCTGAAATCAATTTTATTAGAAACCAAACACAGAAATAACAACTTTTATTTAGGGACAGAACTCTGGGAGTCAGAGGACGCAGCAAATTAATTTTAGGGCAGATGTGGAAATGCACAAGACCTCAGAGCCCTACTTCCAAAAATGATGTTTAATGAGAAGACACTGGTTCCTTTATTTCTGAGATCTTAGGAATTTCAAGATCCCCACTTGGTACTAGAAGATCTTGGCTTCATTTTCCACTTATCTCATTTTTTTCCCCCTTTTTCTCCTTTTTTTCACTTCTTTCTTTCTTTTTCTTTTCTTTTTTTTTCTTTTTTTCCAGGATGACGGCCTCCCCGAAAATGAACATCAGCTGTCAGTAGCTGGAAAGATAAAGAAGCATTTCAACACAGGCCCCAAGCCGAACAGCACGGCAGCTGGAGTTTCTGTCATAGCAGTAAGCATCTGAAATATCCACCTATGACTTTTTAAAAGCCATCCACCTAAGAGACAGACATTACTCAGGAGATTCCACCCAGAGACAGCAGAATGGGTCATTTCTTTAGACAGCTCGACCACTGAACGCGCTGGGGGAGGTTTGGGGCTTCTGTATATGATGTGTTTTTGCCGAACATTTCCCTAGGAGTCATCTCATTATCCAGCACCTCCAGGGTGTCTCGCAGTATATATTAATCTCATGATTTATTTTTTAAAGCTGAAAACCTCCCCCACAGTGGACTCTGTGCCAATGCAAACTTTGGGACTCGGAGAAAAAGAGTTCCTAGTGTCCTTTTGCCAGGACCTGGAGGGAGAGGGAAGCCAAGAGAGACGACACTGCAGAGAGAGATTGGAACACTATAGATCTTTGTTCATGCAAAAACCCAAATGAAAGCCAAAACATTAGCAGAAGGCTTACACAGTAAGATTTTCAGTGAGACTGAGCTGCTGCGAACACCCAAAGAAAAAAACGGTGTCTTGCTCTTTAGAAATTTCTGTTTTTAAAGTCGAAAGTCTTTTACCATTTACCATTTTATTGATGTGGCTGCACAAGGATATTTTTTTTTCCTGTTCTATACATGTAGACATACACTATATGCAATTTGATAGCAGCTCTAGGCAAAGATTAAATTGGGCAGAGAAATAATGAAACCTCATACTTCCTGGTGTCATATTCTAGAGTAAATATCTTCAAGTCCCAGATTACTTGAGTTTTTAATAATTTCCTCTTTTTTCAGAGTATGTAAATTTGAACAGCATATTCCATGTGAAATCACTTGGGCTGTTTTTCTTTTCTCGACAAAGAACTTAGACACTGCAATGTCGAATTTTAAAAAAAAAGTATATATGCTACGAAACAGTATCTTGTGCTCAGGAGCAATACTGAATGTTTTACCACTTTTTGGGGTGTTTTATACCCTTCCTCTTTTTCTTTTTTGGTTGTACAAGAGCTCCAGATAAACAAAAGGTAAATAGGTAACATATTCGATCCAATCCATTCCGGAGCTGCGTTACTATTTGATCGGAGTTTCCAGAATTTGCAGGTGGCACAAATGTACGCATACACTCTCCAGTACTGTTTGCATTCCATGTTTGGAGTTACGAGTGAGTAACTGGCTCCTGAGCCCACTCACGGTGTTAAGTCGAATGTAGACTTTCGGATGCTCCTCAGTGCTGCTAAGGGTTTAAAATTGAAAGTCGTTCTTCCTTCCCTCTCTCTCTAGTTTGTTCTAAGGAAATTCAGTGTAGAAGTACATTGTCCTTCATGTCCTTCCAGATGTCAGCGTTCTTTGTTCTCGGCTAATATTCAGTCAGTAATTTGGGGAAGTAATAATCTCATGGCAATTCTCAACGAAATCAGGCCTCCTACACTCTGTTTTCATCATTCATTCAAGATATAAGTCTATTCCAAAATGTTCGATTCCACAATTTGCTTTTGGAATGGACTGCCAGCACGCTTGTCCATGAAAAGGACTGCTTTCCTGCTCCCTCTGAGGGCTTACGGCTGTGAGAAGGGTGCTTTTCCACCTCTGTCATTTTGTTTTTTTGTTTCTGTTTTTCTTGGTCTTTTATTTTAATTAGTCTCTGGTTAAGTTTGCCTTGGTTGCTCAGTAATGGTTTGTTCACAGTATTCTGGGAGTCTTATAATGACTAAGGGCAGGAACTTCAGGGCAATTTTCCCAGGGATAGACAACACAGATTTGAGGAGAAATCCTACTTTAATCAAACTGGGATGAATTCCAAAACCTAATCCATGTGGTTTATTAAAACTTTATCTAAGTAGATCTCCAAAAGACTCCAACTAGTATTTAAAGATCAAGGTCTATGGATTTTCCCCCCTAACTATCATGATTGGACCATTTTGAATACAATTCCATATCCGTTCCTCTGTTCATCACTAACATGTTCCCATGGAAACTGTAAAATCTAGCAGTATACTTATAAATTGCAAAATGGACAGTTTAGGCCTGATTACGCATTGGTTATGTGTGTATTGAATCTTCTTTATTCACTACAAATGTAAGAAAAAAGTATCAACTTAACTCAGACTCAAAATAATTAACTATTTGGGGAAATACCTGGAAAAATGCCTTGTCCACTCTAAAGCACAATTCACATGTTAATTAGTATTGTTGGTGTTTCAAGCATGAAAGAGCACAACTGTAAATTTCAGGTGTTGTTTCGGGAGACTCTGGCCTGCCATGCACCGTCTCCAGAATGCTTTTCTCTCATAAATGTCCACACCCTCCATTAGAACCTGGGAGAGGTCGCCAGTGGTAGGGAGGGGCTAGGATCAGAAGTTGACCAGTTTGGCTGCCTTTGTGATTAACTTCCAGAATAGCCTTGGGTAAGTCAGCTGATACTCCACAGCAGTTTTCCCATTCTTACAGGGCAAAGACTAAGTCTCAGGGGACCACCACAAGAGAAAGGAGCCCTGGCATTGAATAATACAGTTGACCCTTGAACAGCATGGGTTTGCACTGTGCGTGTCCACTTAGACATGGACTTTTTTAAAGTAAATAAATATAGGACTGTAAGTGTGTTTTCTCTGCCGATTTTCTTAATGACATGTTCTTTTCTCCAGCTTACTTTATTTATACAGTTTGTAATACATATCCAAAATATGTGTTAATTGACTGTTTATGTTATCAGTAAAGTTTCCTCTGGTTAGCAATAGGCTCTTAGTAGTTAAGTTTTCGGGGGTCAAAATTTATACATGGATTTCCTTGTGCTGGGGGGTCAGCATCCCTAACCCTCTCATTGTTCAAGAGTCAACTGTATTCCAATTCAAACTAAGCTTTATCTGCAAAAGAATGATATTCTGCTGTAAGGCAGAACATAAGTGGTAGGTCAGAGGAGGAGTCTTCATAAATGGTGCATTCTGTCCACACATTTGGCAATTTAATAATGCAATATAATTATTAATTCACCTATGTGAAAATTCCTATAATTAATATAATTTTGTAATGGCTTCTATTGATAGATATAGAAAAAAACTGATTGCAGCATGAATTTCATTCAGACAGAATTTTGTCCCACGGGCATGTATGCTCTCCCCAGAGGCTATCAAATAATGTATTTTATTTTAAACTGCCTCTATGGGACTGATTGCTTGAAAATTACATACACCCTTTAAAATGAAAAATTCTACTATTTTAGAATGTAGTGTCCATCACCTTGTATTTTCAGGAAATGAACAGTTAAATCATTAGTCTGTAACTGGCACTTCTCCTTCCTCAGTTAGAAATCTAACTACCCACTGGAGATGAGCAGTGCTTATAAAGGAATTCAGGGTACCTTTTCTTTCCTAGAGTGACAAAGGAAAAAGAAGATACTGTCATAACAAACAGAATCTAGTCACAGATGTAAATTATGACATGAGCGTAGTTTAGCACGCACTCATGGTTCTGAACCTCAGTGTTTTCTGTTCCTGTTGTCATTTTTTCCTTCTCTGCTCTCTACCCCCTCCATCATTAAGACCAAAGAAAGGACAAGTGATAACTTTATATAAAGGTTGCAAGAGGTCCTCAAGTTGACCAGGAGAGTAATTACCAGCTGGAGGCTGGCTGGGATCATCCAGCCCTTCTCAAAGGAGAAAGGGTGTTCTGACATTGAGGTCAGGGAATGTGATTAGGGGGAAACCCATTGCTGTCCTTGAAACTGCAACACTGCCTCTCAGAAAGACTCCTTTGTCCCTTTACTACCTTCCGCAGTAGTTGGGGGATTAAAACACACACACACACACACACACACACACACACACACACACACAAACACACCAGAACAGAGAAAGGGAAACAAAAGGTTATTAAAATGCAATTTATAGACATAAAATGGAATTAGAGATGACATTTTAACGGTGGACTTCTTGGGAGCTGAGGAAGGGAGGGAGGCATTATTAGATTTGCTCAGCTTGATGAAGAACCGATGACTAAGATGTCAGTTCCAATTTATTTTTCCTCATTTAATTCTGTTTATTATTTTAACCGATAATTTTCCTAATGCTTTAAAGTTCTTCTTTTGCATTTTGCTCATGCAAATGGAGCATTTCCGTCTAATTGAACAAATCCATACTAATCAGTGTGCAAACAACAGTGATTCTGGGAAGCTGAGTTTACCCAGAGAGCCAGTCGCACTAGTACATTCCTGTGTGTCCTTGTTATGGGACACTTTGCCTGTAGATGGCAACAGAGGACTAGTTACCAAGTGGCCAACTCCATGAACTCAAATAGAAGCGTGGGATTTCATATACGACTCCCTAACCGCAAGGGGACTTGGATTTTTTTTTCCCCCCAAATGAAAGGAAATGCACTTTTTTTTTTTTTAAAGGATTAAAATCTCACATTGCTCTTCTGTGAACACTGGGATAGCCTAGTTTATTATAATCAGAACACCAAACCCTCCAAGTAGTTTTTAGTTCGAATGCCTGGTGCCCCCGCATGTTTTTGCAATGCCTTTGTGAATTCAGAAGTAGGGACTACGGGCATGGCACCGTTATCACACTTGAAAGCACTCATGAGCGTCTCTCGAAAGAAAAGCGTGCAAGGTGCATCCTGTCCTGGGTGGGATTGGGGAGTGGGCCTACAGCATGATGACTGTTTTCCAATTGGGGGTTTGAATCTTTCATTCCTAGGTAGCCAAAGGCTGACATCTTATTCCAGGATGAACAACTTTGAGAACTTACCCTGTCTTCTATTTACCGTACCTTTTGTGGTTCATAAGCGCTTAACTGTACATACGCATTTTTAATATACAGTGAAAACTCTTTTTCCTTTTCTTTTCTATATTTTCAGAGAGAAAACTGACTGACTGTTTTATATTATATCTTTTTAGCCCAGGAATGTAATTAAGATTCACCTTTAAGAGTAGCTCTGCTTTTGAAGATTAACTCTTAAAGAAATCCAAACTGTTGTGACTTGTGAGGGTCCTTTTCATCTTTTATTTCATATGCATGAAGCCCTCCGATTTAAGCCTGGTGGGGTGAGATGGGGAGGAGGGAGTCCAATCTGCTTTCTCTTAGGTGGCTAAAACGGATTTCAGTACTTTATTTAATTGTAACGCATTTTCCATTCTATGGCATATGAAGAGGTGTTTATATCTTTTGAAATTGAGAGGACATTATTAAATGTGCATTCAAAACCTTGTCTGACAAATTAGATCTATTCTAACAAATTGGCCTCCGAGATATTCATGAGGGATTAGTGCCTTTTCTTGCCTTTTTCTTTTCAATGTGCAGATTTTAGGCTATTAGCTAGTCACCCTGCAAAAGAGGCATGGTGACTGTATCTCAGTGTATAGTCGGTGAAGAACGGCTTGGTCTGGAGTCGTAATTCTCTAGCACAATGTCGATCCACTGAGTTGCCCCCATTTCTCTCTGCTCAGCTGGACCACGGGTTTACCATCAAGAGATCAGGGTCTTTGGACTACTACCAACAACCAGGAATGTATTGGATAAGGTATGAGATGGTGCAGCTCAACAGTCAGTGTTTCCATGGCAACGTGCTGGCAGTCTCCATTAACCAGTTCCTTCAGTGGATAAACATGCTTTTGATTTGTTATCCAGTCCATATGCTGCTTTATCGGTTTCATTTTAATCTTGATTGAGATGCCACACCCCCTCATTCCTTTTTTTCACCCATTATTCACACTGACATTTGCCAGCTTTCTTTCCATTGCACATGCTCAGTATCAATTTTCCTTACAGTTAAAAGGACAGTATATTTAGCATTAATGCCAAAGCCTTTTCCTGATGTTGCTAATTAAAACCATGATTTCTGGTGCTCTTCTGTCCTGTAACAAATGGAAGAACAATGGCGCCTCAGTGTGCGTTCTATAGAAGTATATACTGTCATTTTAAAGTCATCAAGCCCGACCTTGACCTTACTAGATGGATGAAACAATGCATTTACACGTTAGCAGTAGAAACTCCTCCAAGTACAATGAGCTATAGAATGCATTGTGTGTGTTGGTAAGCTTGTGTTTTCAAATTCTCCACCTTCTTGTTTTGTTTCATTTTCGTTTTATTGTTCCCTCTCTCCCCCTGGAAATCCCTTTATGTACTAGCTATTGCATGAATTTATTTTTCAATATTTTGTAACTGTCAGATTACTTAGCTGGCTTATCTGCAGAAGCAAAAGGGACTGTGTATGGGAGGTATTGATTTTTCTTTTTTTTTTTTTTGAAACTGGGTTCAGAATTCTCTCCCAATCATTTTCTATTCTAGTCAACTGCCCTGGCATTTCCTTCAAGGGGCATTGTTTGTGTCTCTTTAAGTTATCCACAGGCAGGATGGTTTCTGATGATTTGAAAATTTTACTGTGAGAAGTCCCAGGGAACTTTTCTCCTCCATCTTAATGTTTCTGAAATGATCTCCTGATAAAGCTCCACATCTTTGTGTTTGCAAAGAAAGACTCCCGTGGTTTTTGTATTTGTTTCCCCCAAATGATGGAGCCCACGTGCAGTAATGTAGTGGCTACCTGATGTTTTTCATGGATTAGACTACTAAATTTTACAGAAAGAGAAATATATATGTGCGTGTGTTTATATATGTGTGTATATACGCACACACACATATAATATATAATTTTAACCCCCAATTAATTATTCCTGATTTTTGTTTCTACACTCAAAGGACTTAAGGAAGCAGTAAAGGGCACACTTTGACAAACCATCCAGTATACTAAAACCATGATAATTCCCAAATCTGTTTAAAGCAAGAAAACGCCTAAACGTAAATGAAATGTTTCACCATCAGTTTTACACAGAGCCCGTTTGTATCTTCTAGATTGATAAGCATGCCAGAGTTGCAACACAACCTTTTTCTTTACTTAAGTAAAATAACTTTATAGGTATAGCAAGAACTCTGTTTTATTTTTAACCTTAGGTATAGCAAGAACTCTGTTTTATTTTTAACCTTTCGGGGTGGGGATTAATCACGATTTGCCTTTATGCAGACTCTTTTTTGACGTTTTAACATAGAAAAGGGTCCCTCCGACTTTTACTTTTTATTGAGAGATAACTGCATTCAGAAGGGTGCAGATACCACAAATGCACATTCCAGTGAATTCCCAAAAACAGGACCCAGATTGGGCACAGAGCCTTTCTAGCACCTCCAGAGATCCCCACCCGCCCCCCCCCCATCACGGCCCTCCCAGGAGGGTCACATAGCCCCGAGGGTAAACACTGACCCGGACCAGGACTCTATCCACATTAATTAGCTTTGCCTGGTTGTGTACTTTATATAAATCGAATCACACCATGCTCTGCCCTTATTTTTTTAATTGTATGCCTCCTAACCTCAGGCATAGTAGCCAAATACATATGAGTAAAGTTGATCTACAACTAAAAATATGCATCAGCTATGTCTAATTACAGTTGTACATGTTTGTGTAATAAAAATGGCACATACAAATATCGAATTTCAAAACGAAAACGCTAGAAAATGATGTTGTTAAATGTGAGGGAGTAAGAGTGGGAGCAAAATGCCAAGTAAACACAATAATTAATAAATGTAGCCGAGTATAAAAAGGCCATTTGACTAAGATCCTAGTGATGGTTCCCATCAGCAGACGAAATGACACATCCCTGAATAATGGGCAGGAGCAGATGGGAGATAATCTCTTTTTTCTTCCACACATAAACTGCTCTGTTTTCCAGCTGGGGGCAGTAACAACAATGTTTATAGTTAATGCTGTAGTAAACAGCACACCCAGTATGTAAAGTTAAATTGGAGAAACGATGCTAAAAACTCATCGGCATATATGCTTAATTAGGAAGTTTTATAATGCCATTTAGCCTCAGAACGAACACACTCTCCTCACTGATTGCAAATGCTTCCCTTTCATCTCCAAGGAAGTGGGAGCATTTGTCTAACCACGGTGGCAGCCAACTTGCAACATAAACAATCATTACAGGCAAACATCCCCGCTCCCAATTGTTGTGTTTACAAGTGCTCATGGCTGTTTTTGCTACTCTGAGCAGAACACTTGGGAGTCCCGGTTCCTTTTTGTAAAGCAGCTCACATCAGGGCATAGGCTGGAAAAAAGCATCTCTTCGGGGTGCCCAGAATTGTCATGTCCCTCTTAATAGGCTTTTTGGTGATGGTGGAGAAAGGGTGGGTATCCATTTTCCTCTTTCTCCTTCGTTCTCTTGCCTCTGGACAGAGAGCTGCTGCTTCCAAGCTATAGCCAAGGGAGCAGCACCGTGCTTGGCCTGTTTTTCCAGGAGACCTTGCTCCTGTCACCTTGAGTCCAGAGGGGACCCTGCCCCAGGAATGAGCTGCCTGGGCCATTCTACTCCCTCCTGGCCTTCCTGCAGGCAGCTGGAAAACATTTACATCTCATTACATTCCCCCCACCCCTGTCCTGAAGATGCGTCCTGATCCAAAGGGGCTGTGGTCACACGTATTTTGTGCCTCTCTCTAGTGAAGGTGTCACTGTGGCAGGTGTGGCCAACAGCACATGGAGAAGAATCCTGCATCTTCTACAGCGGCCAGAATGGGGTAACCCAATTAAATAAAACAAATATCAAAACAAGACAGAAGCTAAAAATGCTAAATGAGATAAAACGCAGAGGTGAGCTAGGACAAAAGGGTGGTTGAATTCCCAGGCATGATGTGACTCAAATGTGCATATTGGATTCAAGCACCGTCCTGAAACAGTGAGTAATGAGGCAGAGCGGTAGCAGCCGTGCGCAGTCTTTGCAAGGCTATTAAACGCTGTCATGCTCGGCTGTTAAAAGGAATGGGGTCAGTTAAATGCATCTTGCTTGGTGTGAGTTTAAAAGAGGAGTTCCCACGAAAGCCAGGGAGGAACCCCAGCGTGGTGTCAGGAAGGCTCCCAGGCTAGCCTCAGTCAGCAGCCAAACGCCCATAGCCAGTTGCATGCCTTGCAGGCTGTTTCACTGCACGTGGCCTTGGCCTTGCTCCGCCATTGAGAAAGCACTCCCCAGAAGTGAGCGTCAGAGCACTGCCAGAAGGACGAGCAGATGCCCCTGTTCCAGCAAGGGATTAACCACCCAACTCCACGCCTGACCCGAGACTCCCTCTGTAACAGAGTGTAACACTTAGAGAAGGCAGAGGTTTAAACTTCAGAACCCACCCACACTGTGATTACAGAGAAAAGGATCAGGCAAGTAGGAGGTATGGGTTTGCAGCCTTGATGTTAAAAAGTGAAGCCAAGAGGCTCAAAAGATGGGCAATGCCTTGCCTGCCGTTTCACGAATGGTATTGAGAGAAGCCTGGGAAGAGTGAGACGTCTGCGTCCTTTCCCCGAGTCAAACAGGTGGCTCACTGTTGGAGAGTTCCATCCTTAAGAGAGGATGCCAGCCACATCTGTCTGTCTTTTAAAAATGTCACTTTCTTGTTATTGAAATGAGCAGTGGCCGTGGCATTCCAAGACCTGCTGATTGGCTCTGAACCGAAGTGAGATTTTATACCTCTCCTGACATCCTCAATGATTCGGTATTGATCGGAAATTTGGTGGTATCCTATTTATTTTTGACCTTGCTTAGGAATCTCTTTTCCTCTTTTTGATTTAAAGGAAAAAAAAAAAATATCTGCCCTCATCTGTGTATTTATTCATGCCATACTTTGACTCCGAACGTTCCCCAGTGATGGTCACTGATATACTACAGATTTTATTAGGTGTATGCATGTAGGAAAGGGTAGTCATGAGGAACTTAATCATAAGTATTGACAGACTGTTATTTATCCAGAAAGAGTGTAAATGTCGACCTGCTGAAGTTAGATGATTCTCGAATCCGTGTCAGCCACATGATACTTAAATCAGAAAGTCTTAGAAAGTGAAGTGAAATGAAGTAGGGCCAAGATTGGCAGCACAGCACGAGGAGAGTAGGCGACTTTGCTGTCAGGAAGCCCAGGTTCCTGTCCAGGAAGCCCATGGTTCTTCCCACCATGTGACCTTAGGCAAGTTACATGGTTTTCTCTGATTCTCCCTTTCCTCATCTATATGCACGAGAAGAGTATTACTGACCTCCCAAATCTGTGGTGAGAATTAAATGAGCTGCCTGTGCCAACGAGCTTTCACTCCAGCCCAAAGGAGGCGCTCAGAAAAGATGGCTTCCCTCACAGGGTCTCCCTCACTTCCATGAGAAAACCAGCCACTCCTCACAGCAGACAGATTTTCCTGAGCAAGCGGATCTTACTGCAGGTAGAAGCATTTGTGATGAAACTTGAACATGAACTTCTTGATGCTCTGATTGGGAGAAACTGCTGTGTAACTTACAGGATTCATGAGGATTTGTGGCATTAATTTTACTTAAGGTAGTCTCTTCCAAAAATCCTAGGGAAGTATAAGTTTTAAATGTAACCTTCTAGGGAGGAGATTGGCAAACTATAGTCAATGGGCCAAGTCGAGCCCGCTGCCTGTTTTTGTGAAGAAAATTTTATTGGGACACAGCCACACTCATTCATTTATAAATTGCCTAAGGCTGTTTT